TACACCACGCGATTGTATGTTAAAACCGGTTCGTATCTATATTCTGGATCTTTCGTGCAGGTAGCAATTTGTTGGATTGAAATCGTAGTCTTCCATCGTTTCTCCATCTCTAACGTCTACGAAGCAATTCCAAACAAGCGAGAACAGCGGGAAATAATACACCTCCTCTCACCACACTCGCATTTGAAAACATTCTGACCATACCTACAACGGTGTAGCGCATTTTGAATCTTTTCTTTCTCTTAAAAGAACATTAAAAAAAGAATCCAATTTCGAAGATTGTTTATGTTAATGCTGTGCTATTGAGAAGTCAGGACATATAGTGTACGAACATACGTTTTACCCATTTTGTGCAGTCCATAAACAAATTAATAATGACTAGTTAAAACGATTGAATGTTTAACATGAACATAAAAATAGAACAGCATATCGATAGAACAGCAACATAAACATAGAACGTTAGAAAAAACAGAACAGCATATCGCATATTGCAGCATGAGAAGTACCACAATATTGATGATCACACAATGCAATCTGAGGGCAATAACTGGGTACATAGTTACTGCAATTAGTATTCAACAAATTGTGCAAAAAACTGCCTCAAACATTGGAAGGTTTTGTTAAGGTAAGATTCATGTTTCAACGTATATATACACGAAATAGACAATATGGAACTATCATAGTTGATATTAGTAGAGAGTTAATTATGTTGACCATAAATTATGATTAGTTCTCGGAAGAATGGAAATCCATAAAAAATGCATAAATCGTGGTTTTTATAAACTTCATATTAAAGGTTAATCAACCGTGTTTTGTTGAGAAGAGTAGAGTACAGAGTGAGGAATAACATGAGGTGAAAACAAGGCTCACATTCACGTTCCAAGAGCTCGTTGTTTCGTGCGACTTGCACAATGCCACTTACAAACTACAACCTTAATGGAGTTGTATAAGAGGTTAATGCCAACACAACCGCACGATGCGATTCGCGTCGGGAAGAGTCCGGCCGGACGAGGCAGGAGGCGAGCGCTTGGGAAGTAGCGCAAAGTTCAAAGCCGTGGGTCGACACCTCCCCTCCCCCGTCATTCTCTTATGCGCGGCCGTCGGCAGTAGCAGCCTCTGCGGCAACCTTGCGGCCGAGGAGAACGGCGAAAAATGGCGTGGCTTGACGCGACTCGACTGGGCTGGAAGCGGTGCGGTGCGGTGCGGGGCGGTGCAGGGCAGGGCAGGGCAGCCCGGAAGGCCGAGCGAAAGGGTGCGACCGGCTGCGAACCGGAGGCCACGCGGAGGCGGCCACGGAATGCGACAGCGCCGAGCGCCAAACCCCGCCCCCCTCCCCACTCCACGCGCCGCGCCGCGCCGCGCCCGTCAAACAGGCTAGTGGGCCTCGGGCGGGGTGCTTGCAGGCGGGTATCCGCTGCCCACGCATGGTACTCGGCTGCGAAGTGGCATTCTTGCGTTGCGCGTTTAATGGACGACTGGCACGAGCCGTGTGTTGCCTCTAGTGACGTCTCCGGGAAACGAACAACCCGTTGCGCGCAGAATGCCCGTCTACTTTATGGAGACTGATCTGCCATCGCTACAAACTGAACAGTCATAATTCGTATACGAATTCGTATCACACAATGAACTGTCCAATTATACATGCGCTGGGAGTTATGTTTCACTGATTCGATGGTACTTTAAAATCGGAAATTGATTAGAAAATATTTGAAGATTTTGTTTTCAATATTTTAGAACTTTTATTTGCATTAAATTAATTACTATTCTTATTTTGAATCACAGCCAACTCATACATATTCGTCCAATATTGAAATTTGAGTTTCTCTGATCTGCAATCTTGCGGAAGAGCTTGGGTTTCAGGCCTCTATTCTAGCTAGTTTTTGACTTCAAAGTCACTTTTCAGTTCATTAGTTACATATTTACCCATTAATTAGGCGTGCGGCACAACAAGCAAACAAAAACACCTCTTCCTCAAGTTAACTAAACTTATTACACGTGGGTAAAGTTTGTAAGGTAAAAGAGCATTAGTGTTCCACTGTAGACGAAGCTACCGGCAGCACATCTTCCAGCGCTTTGCCTGCCAAACGGGCTTGCTAGCCTCCGGCTGTGTACTGTGCAAGTGCCCGCCCCAGTCATCGACTGCCCACGCACGAAGTCGGCTTGCGAAGTGGCATTCCTTCGCGTGTTTTATTAGCTGACTCTGACAGCTTAAGGGTACCTATCTCGACCTCAAAATAGTGTTGGCTCACAACCCTGTCTTTGTTTCTTGAGTCGGGTCACAAGCAAATTTATACATTTACGGTTGCTTAAGGACAATAGTATTCAATGAACTTTTCTTTAATTTCAAGAGACTTAAACAAACTTTATAGCTCTTAAATATTTCGCAGGCACATCTGTTATCCATAAACTGTGAGGACAGGCAATTGTGAGAGATGATTGATGATTTTCCATAAATCCAGTACAACGTATCTACCAATACAGGTATCTAATAGACTTTTACACTCTGTATATAAACGAATTTCAGATGCAACTTTTCAATGATTTAGTGGGATCATTAATGAGCGTTTTCGGATGTTAATTGACATTTCCTCTTCAAAACCATCGCCGAGTATCATAGCAACTGAAGACCTGCAGTGAATGAAATAATTATAGTATATTTGCTGCTGGAAATACACGTCACCTGAATGTTTTGAATCCTCTTGCAATTGCGACAAGAAATGTGCAAGAGTTTCCATTGCGTACTTAACACTTATTGCTCTCACCATATTCCTACTGCATGAAGCCTCTTTGAGAATGCTGTCTCACGAGTTCATTGAGCTTGCTTGTTTCCGAGTTGGAATGTTGCGCCATTTCTTACCACACTGGCGAGTGAACCAGTTCCAGCTCAGAGAAAAGCCCTTTGCTTCACGGTGTGAAATAATTTTCTATTAAGAGAAAGAGAGAGCGGAATTGCATAAAGAGTACTAACGTATTTGAAAGAACAGAAACAGCAAAGAAATGACCTTCCAACTCTAGACTGGAGGAGGTTCTGATGACACTTTTTGTACCGAAGTACTGTGTACCTGACCTTAATGAAGAAACATCATTAGCCCCAAGACTTTTTTGAAATTAATATTTTTCTTTCGGAAAAATGTTTCCGGGAGTGACATCAACCTTAAACAAAGAGTTTTACCGTAAATACGCATCCAGTGTCATGTTCCCAAAATAACACAATGGAAGCAGCTGTTTCTGTTCCCACCAGCAAAACTATTAGTCTGCGCCGGACGAAGGTGGGAACTGGCGGAAGGCGGGCTGTTGGTGGCTCCAGCAAGTGTACTCGTACAGCACAAACAATGTATCGCGTTGCACGAGCATAAAGGAAAATTGTATCCACGAATGTAGCGAGACATGATTCTATGTAATCTATGTTGAGAACTGCATGTAGCGAGATATGATTCTCTGTGTTCTATATAAGGAACTGCATGTAGCGAGATATGATTCTCTGTGTTCTATATAGGGAACTGCATGTAGTGAGAAATGATTCTCTGTGTTCTATATAGGGAACTGTATGTAGCGAGTTTATGATTTTAAGTAATCTATATAGAGAACTGCATGTAGCGAGATATGATTCTCTCTTATCTATATTGGGAACTGCATGTAGCGAATTATGATTCCCTGTAAACTATATTGACAACTGGCATCTATTCAAGAAAATGTTATTAAATATCGTTTAAACAAAACATTGAATAAAAACTGCATAGGAAAGTGATAAACATTATAATTGTACAATTATCTTTTTAGACTTAGAAAGGAAGTTATTGAAAGTATTAGGAAGCAAAGAGAGAGAGCTGCAATAATCCAGTACCTCAAGCAATCTCAGGGAAACATTTTTGTGTTATTGCAAAAGAAAATGAAACAAATGTTTTCCTTGGAAGTAATTGGACGCAACTATCAAAAGCAATAAAATTCAAATTGGAATTCGAAGTATTTCAATTAAATCGACAAAGAACGAACATTACTATCATAATGCATTTTTTTTCACGAAGCAGGGTGAAAGTTTGTGCAAGCAAGGGAATTGCAAATACGATGAAGAAAGCGGATAGTTATTGGTTTAATTGTGTTGTTTCTATATCTTGTTCATGTAATCAAGGGCTTGTGTCAGTGTAGAGTCTAACCACACGTTGACCAAAATTGAAATACGAACATTTACGATAAGCGCGAGTCTTTATATGGCTGGTGTGGCTGTTCGTCGAGAGGAATTTTTGAACCCGCCTGTACATTCACTCGCGCGCGTATGCGTCGGCGTATTCGACCCTCCAGCGGCGGGCCCCTTTCCCGCCTCCAAAGGGCCCGGGGGAACAAGGAACCCCTGTCCGGGGGACGCACAATGACGGGTTCACGAGACGAGCGCCGCCGCGAGGCAGGTGCAAAAGAATGGAAAGTTCTGGCGGAGCGGTCGCCCAAACAATGAACGGCCAGGTAAGGGGGGCCCCGCTCTGAAGGGCGCGGGAGGGGGCAGCGGGGGCGTCGAGGGAATATTCCGGCCCACCCGGATCTCGCGTCGGGACGACCGCGGGCGACGGCCGTTCCGTCGAAATGCATACGCCGAGGAGCGCCCCGGGTCGACTTTTACTTTGATGGCTTCAAATTGGTCGTCGTAAAAGAGATGGAGGGACACCATAAGGATTTCAGCTCTGCTTTGGGGGATTTGCAGATCATGTAACGCTATTTCCTCATTCTGCAACGTGTTTGAAGCTATTTTGCGTAATGTTCCCGGAACGTAGTGTTCGCTGTTATTAAGATTATTCATCGAAGATTTTTTCTCGGTATTCTTGAATTTGCAAAAGTGAAAGAATTTAACATTAATAATTTAACTGTTGAAATATTTATGAATGTTAAGCATGGAAAATTGATATATGTATACAATATTTTGTAATTTTCATTTGCATAAAAAATGCGAGAAACTGAAATCCTCTTTTTCAATCTAGTGTTACCTTCCCGACTTGGGATAAACAGAGAAGTTAGCAAAAACAAAGATGGGGATTCATTATCAAACTTTGAGTATTTTTTATGAAATAAAGTGCATCATCATCATCATCATCATCATCATCAATGCGGTTCCTGAATCATCATCACTACAATAAGAGGCTAGTGTTCTGTGACTTGTTCCCAATAAACTCACGTAATACAACTATTTCGCTCAAAGTCAAGAAGAAAATCTCGTATGGAATTTTTAAATGATTTCTGCTATATCAGTGTTACTTTAAATTGAGAAAGCCATTAGTGGCCCCGACCTAGACACCAACCCGGGTCCGCTTTCCAATGTAATTTCCAATCCAACAAGGAGATAGGATGATGACAGGAATAATATTAGCCAACTCTCCCTCCCACCGTTGAACATTTTGGTTCTGTTATTTACAAAAAAATGATACCGAACATATTAATTTCCTATTTAAATGAATTAACCATCATTTCAATCCTTACATTAATTTCTAGTTGTATTTCAGTACCAGGCAGCTATCAATGTTTAGTTGCAACTTAAAACATGTTGGAGATTTCACGTAATGAAGCTTATAATTACGATCATAAAAAACATAGGCCTAGTGTACGCTAGCAGCCTCCGCCGCAGCCGCGGGCGCACAGTGCTGTGCTCCACGGGTGCTGCGGGACCGTTGCCGCCGCCGCCGCCGCCTCCTCAACCACTCATTAGTTGGCAGCGGAGGCGGCGGTGCGCACGGAAGATGGCGTGTGGGTACTCACCGTTGGAGCACGTGAAGAGCTGGCCCGCAGGCGCCTGTAACAAGAAGCACAAGGTCAGTGTGGACCGGCAAGGCGCTAGTCAGAGCTCTAGCAAGCTACTCATCGTGTCGTCCTCTCGCGAGGAAAGCGCTGGCTACGGCGCCGAAACAGTAGCTGTACCATTGCTCTACCACTCTTACTACTGCTTGTATATACAAACGTTACCAAGAAAGAGCATTAACAAAACATAACTTAGCAGTAAGACAAATATTAATAATAACAATTTTGTTCAAGTTTGGCATACCAAAGTGCTACACGCAAAATCGACCCATCTTAGCTGCTAAAGCTGTACGGCAGCAGCTTACTGTAAACCCAATTAAGTAAATAAATTCACGTCTCCCCGGAGAGTACTGCGGAGGGGAAATACAAAAAAAATGCTCTACCACAGCGGGCCAGCGAACGGTTTCGTGAGTTTCTTTCTCTATTTTTTTCATGTAAGTTTCATCCTGTTTGCATGCATACTTTATTTTGTAATAATACCATTATCTACCCCACTTTGAGGAGAGAAAATTACTTTCATACTTGAAATTATTTCGTAACTTGACATTTATCTCATTCCCCAACTCGTACATACACCTGTGATCATCCATCTTTCATCAGTCATCATCATCGTCACTATCTGGTCACCGACCACTCTTGATATCAGACACCGGAAGTCAATAAAGAAGTAAAGGCTTTTCTGCAAGATGTGTGTCAAAAGGATTATGCTCTATTTGCGCTACGGCAGACTCGCTCTCCTCCGTTGAGAGTTACTCGTTCCTAGGGTGAAAGAGAGGTTGGATTACGTTGAGTTCCCAAAACCGCAAGATAAATCACAATTGACACCGTGATTTTCTAGGATTTGAAAATTAATATATATTACGGAACTAAATAACCCTTAATATATGCACATTTAGGATCGGTAGTATAAATAGGATAAGTTCTGATTTGGCGGCTACCTAGTGATGTTAGAAAGTAACGTCGAAAATATGGGAGAGCGCCCCTACATTAAGTACGCAACGCTTGAAGTCATATTTTCTGCGGAACTGTAGTCCGAGCCACACAATATCTTTAATCATGACTATTTATTACTGCATAACACATTGAAACATTGTTTCCTTTCTAGTTCACTAAGAAGTTACTTCAAGAAATTTGCGGTAGAATATCTTAAGGTGAAGTTATGAAATAATTTCAAGTATGAAAGCAATGCTTTCTCTTCGAAGTGTGATAGATAATGGTATTATTGTTTTGTACAAAATAATGTATAATTCAAAAACTACAAATACAGTATAATAAATCTACATTCCGACAATGCTGCATTACATTAATACTCATCGCAATAGATTAACAAAAGCACAGGTACTTTCCAGTGCAATTCTTAACTATACGACCTAGGCAAAATCGTTAAAGAAAATTTCTGGCTGCACTTCATAGAGTTAATGCAGGGGTTGCCTTTCAAACTGCGCCTTCCGCCCATCATGTTAATTATGTTGGCCAGCGTACTTCGTCGTTTGCGTATAGAGGGTCGTTAGCATTGCTAAAGCTTGTCCTGGTGACAAGGCCGCTCGCAAGGTGACGCGTAGGACCCAGACTTCTATTACCCGCCCATCAAACGAGTTTCCGGCGATTAACTTACTTCAAGTATCTTTTTTATTATTATGTAGGACTTAACAGCTTACAATAATATTTAGAATGTATAGAAAATTAAAAGAAATAAGAAGGTGGTCTAACGTTCTTGAAAGGGACCTTGGACTTACGGTTATTAATCAAATTTGCATTGATCTATTCCCAAATATTTTCAATGAATCAGAAACTTCAAAATCGACACCAAGAAAACAAGAAAAAAATCATCTCGCTCATTTTAGTTCGATGATTTTATGTAGGAAAGTAGTTATATCATTCAACATCTCTCATTCAACAAAGAAACATTTAACAGTGCCATATAAAACTAAAGTTCATATAAGTACGAAAAATGATTGGAAACTTCTTCAGATTTTGAATATGTAAATCATTCATTAATTGCCATTGCCATATTTAAATAAAATTATATTTCCTTTATCATTAATCATTATTGATAATCTACAACGTGAAACTATTCTTTTACCGTATCTTAAATGATTAATCATTCTATTCTAAAGCCCCTTGTTGCAAAAGCTGTGCATTCTAAAGTGAATGATTCATTTCATTCCACCACAGTTACAAGTAATAAACATTATATTGCGAAATTTGTTTTGAAGAACGCTGTACCGACCGTTCTAGTTTTTTTTCCTGTGGCAAGAACGTGTTATCGGATCACTCTTTCATAACCTCACGGTGCTTCTCACCTTCGCGTCAGCCGCGACGCGCCGTAGTCAAGATGGCGGTCGATTCACCGCTAGCGGTTAGCGGTGAGCTGCGAGCTCACGCTCTCGGAACGAACAACTTTCCGCGTTTCATAACCTATCGGCGCATTGAAGCGGAGACAAATGCCACACAGGTGCGTGGAAAAGTGAACGGTTCCGAGTCGACGTGTCGCGGCACACCGCGCCACGCTGCGTTGTTCATTGTGAAATTCTCGAAGGCTCTTTCTTCGGATTTTCTTTTCTTCTTTCTTTTTGTTGTCTGTTCTTTTGATTCTACTTTCTTTTGCTTATGTTTTTATGTCCTTTCTTTCAATTTTATCTTGCTCTTTCTTTCTTTTGATTGTATTTCGCTTTCTTCTTCCATTTTTCTGTTGTTTCTTTCTTTCGTATCTTTAGGTGGATTATTCCACTACTAAAATTAAAAGCGATCGAGTTTAACTCTACATACAACTATCATTCCGGGCAATATACTCCGATTCACCAACATTCTTTTTTTCTGGTTCTTTCTAGTTCAACATTCTATGATTTTCAAAACTTTAAAAAAACGCACGTATATATGGTAATTACACAAGGTGCATGTTTAAACTTTCTTTTCTAACTACTTACTATCCTGAGTGATAAATATCAATCATTGAATCAAGTGGTAAAAGGCCATTCATATGCTCACTGAATTTCATATTTTGTTTCCCTCTCGGTTCTTTCTCAGACGAGAAAACCCATGTATGAGAGATTAAACACAATTTCTCTGCATGTTGGATACTTTCCTTTCTTTTATTTCCGTCACTTTTCTTTCTTGGTTGGCATTTCCATTTTACTTTTCTTTGATTCCATCTACAGAACGACGCGTTTTGTTTGGCAAGGACACCTAAGCATGTCATCCATTCTGTTGGCGATTTCGTTTTTACTTTCTCGTGGTATATTTTTTGTTGTGATTCTGGAATAGCTCCCGGTCGTTTGTTATCCAAGAGAAGTTTAGGCTCAGTGTTATTGGCTAATGTGATGGAGAGCAAAGATACGAATTTACAATCCAAAATATTGCATCTATTGATTCACCTGAACTTTCACTTCGAGTCATAATGAATAACTTGTCTTGCAGCAACCTAATGAGTCTTTCTACAGAGATGAATCTGATTTTCTACATTAAAATCAACGAAATCATCAATAATGAATTTAATGGTGTTTAATCACATGATCTTTAGAAAGTACTCTACTCCATGGTGTAAGTATTGCTCTACACAAATAATTACAGGCATTTCTCAAAACCGATGTCAATAACGTCCATTTTCTACGCTACGTAACAAAGTGGCATCAATCAGAAAGGTGGATAGAGCTCGTTATTAAGAGAATGGTTTGTTGAAATAGTGACACCTTATTGTAGCAATAATTGCTTCTATTATATGTCTTCAAATATCCTCTCATCCTTTCACCACTTAATTTTGAATCCTGGTACGACGGTAGTAACCTTAAAGAATTGCTTTCTACAAGGCCACCCATTTTCTCTCGCTTGAGAAATTAAACGGTGACGTGCGAATGTTACTAGATTTCTCATAATATCTTTTTAAAATATTTTGTCTTTTATTTGAGTTTTAGAAGCACATTTGCATATAATTATTGTTCAAATTCAAAATTTCACGGAATATTAAATCAATATTGCCTGTTGGGTTCTCTTATCACGATGCATCCCTGAACCTTCATCCTAGACATAACCATTCTTCGATCATCATTCCCCCCAAGATCACCTTTCCATCCGTGATAAACTGCAAGTTTAAAGGCAGAATACCACTAACATCACCTGACCAGGAAAGGGAGAGCTGTAAGCATGTTCTTCGCTCAGAAATGAGAATGGCTCATAACATAGATCAAAGCTAAGTACATTTCGTATTAGAGTTTCATGGATAGGATAAAACATTTTCAGGCTATTGCCCGACAACATATTTAGTGTGGCGCCTCTGACGCTTTAAACGTTTTAAAAGTATTTTTATGTTTATTAATTTGAGTTGAAAAAAATTAAATTGTGTGAGTGAGACAGGCAGGCAGACAGTAAGATAGGCAGGCAGGCAGGCAGGCAGGCAGGCAGGCAGGCAGGGCAGGCAAGGCAGGCAGCGGCAGCACAGGCAGGCAGGCAGGCAGGCAGGCAGGGCAGGCAGGCACAGGCAGGAGGCAGCAAAGGCAGGCAGGCAGGCAGAGGCGGAGGCAGCAGCCGCATGCAGGCAGGCAGGCAGGCAGCAGGGGCAGGGCAGGCAGGGCAGGCAGGCAGGCAGGCAGGCAGGCCAGGGCAGGCAGGCAGGCAGGCAGGCAGGCAGGCAGGCCAGGCAGAGCAGGCAGGAGCAGGCCAGGCAGGCAGGCAGCAGGCAGGCAGGCAGGCAGGCAGGCAGGAGGCAGGCGGCAGGCAGCAGGCAGGCAGGCAGGCAGCAGGCAGGCCGGCAGGCAGGCAGGCCATGCAGGGCAGGCAGGCTGCAGGCAGCAGGCAGGCAGGCAGGCAGGCAGGCAGGCAGGCAGGCAGCGCAGGCAGGCAGGCAGGCAGGCAGGCAGGCAGGGCAGGCAGGCAGGCAGGAGCAAGCGCCAGGCAGCAGGCAAAGGTGCCAGGCCAGGCAGGCAGAGCAGCAGGCAGGCAGGCAGGCAGGCAGGCAGGCAGTGCAGGCAGGCAGGCAGGCAGGCAGGCAGGCAGGCAGGCAGGCAGGCAGGCAGGCAGGCAGGCAAGGCAGGCAGGCAGGCAGGCAGGCAGGCAGGCAGGCAGGCAGGCCCAGGCAGGCAGGCAGGCAGGCAGGCCAGGCAGGCAGGCAGGCAGGCAAGGGCAGGCAGGAGGCAGGCGGGGCAGGCAGGCAGGCAGGCAGGCAGAGCAGGCAGGCAGGCCAGGCAAGGGGCCCAGGCAAAGGGCAGGCAGGCAGGCAGGCAGGCGCAGCCAGGTAGGCAGGCAGGCGGCAGGCAGCGTGCAGGGGCAGGGGAGACAGGGCAGGCAGCAGGCAGGCAGGCAGGCAGGCGGGCAGGCAGGCAGGCAGGCAGGCAGGCAGGCAGGCAGGCAAGGCAGGCAGGCAGGCAGGCAGGCAGGCAGGCAGGCAGGCAGGCAGGCAGGCAGGCAGGCAGGCCAGGCAGGCCAGGCAGGCAGGCAGCAGGCAGGCAAGGCAGGCAGCCAGGCAGGCCAGGCAAGGCAGGCAGGCAGGCCAGGCAGGCAGGCAGGGCCGGCAGGCCGGCAGGCAGGGCAGCAGGCAGGCAGGCAGGCAGGCAGGCAGGCAGGCAGGCAGGCAGGCCAGGCAGGGCAAGCGGCAGGCAAGGCAGGCAGGCAAGGCAAGGCAGGCAGGCAGGCAGGCAGGCCAGGCAGGCAGGCAGGCAAGGCAGGCAAGGCAGAGCAGGCAGAGGCAGCAGAGGCAGGCAGGCAGGCAGCCAGACGTGAGGCCGGCGGACAGGAAGACAGGCAAGCAGACGTGAGGCAGGCAGACAGGAAGGCAGACAGGAAGACAAGCAGGCAGGCAGACAGGCAGACAGTGAGATAGGCAGGCAGACTGCTGACATGCAGACAGACACATATACAGACACAGAGATAAACGAGACAGACATGCAGACAGGGATAGGCACAGGCAGACAGGCACAATTTACTGTTGACTATGCGTAGAATTAATAGATTTTGCGTTCTGCTGGCATCACGTTGCCTCGAGGCTGCGTGGCACAGCCGGAGGCCACCTGTCAGTTGGCCGAACGCGGGAATGTGAAAGTGAAGCATCTGTCCCGCCCTGCGCCACTGACATGCATCGATTCCGCGAAGCCGTAAACCCTCGCCCTCCTCTGCCATGAGCCGCTCTATTAAAGACGGCTTCTCTAGGAGAGGCCACGCTGCGTCTCGCACAATGGGCTACTTCCCAGACAGGATCTCCGCTCTCGGCTGGCTCACGAGGCGCGCAGCCTACCGGCGGCTTGCTCTCTCCGTCATGCTCCATACTTCAACCATACGGACATTTTAAGTTTTTAAAGAGCAGAAGTGATGTTGATTGAAGGCAACTCGGTTTCGTAATGAAATGCGAGTATACAAATTAGGTTGTTTAATTCAATCACTTATCTCATAATTTTGTTCTGATTATTAGTCTTTTTTATTGTAACAGGTAATTTGATAGTATTTTTAGTTTATGATCTTTAATTGATATGCCTGAGTTCCAGTACTATTCTATTTTTTGACCAAAGGGCCAATAATTCTTTGATCTTCAATCACAAAATACTACAGGGAATATTTCACACAATATTTACTTCCCGGTCGGGGTGGTTAACATTGAACTGAATGAGGATGTTCTGAGGTAAGGAACTACAATAGAAGAGAATGGCGGTTTCTCGTCATTCGTTGACTCACACTGACACAATGATCATTTGTAGAGTTTGCATCAGGACGACGTAATATGATGGATCGTAAAATGTATTAAAGTGATGACAGTAAACTATGCATGTCTCAGCTATTTGGTATTGCGAAATTGGAAAGCGAAAGAAATTCAAGGATGGAACCCCATCTACTACGCATTAGCTTGCGTTTCTACGCGTAAGGTCTTTTATGTAACAATTACAAAAATTACATGATTTCAGGCGGTATTCAGTTTTAAAAATTCGAATGAAAGTTAGGTCGTAAACATTTTTTATGCATAAACAATAAATGAGGAAACTTAGTCGAGAGTGGTAGAGACAGAAAAAGGAATATCAGTGATAAGAGCATGAATATCAAGACGAAGAGCATAATGGGAAGGTGGTACAAGTAATACGATTATTGCAGGTATATTTAATGGGAGAAAATGATTCATAACAAGGAAAACATGACAAAAATAAATTATTTTGCCGCTTATTTTGAATCATGAAGACGCTCTTTGGTAACTTATATTACTTCAGAAAGGAATTTTTCTAGACTATACTTTCCTGCAAAACAAAATGAATGAATCATCCGAAACCGGTACCTGTCATTAGTAACATTACAATACATTATTTTTGTCTTCTCTAATGTGCATTGGTGTTTTCGTAGAAATCGAGGTTTGTGACTATAAATGTTACTAAATATTGCAAATGCAGCTCCAAATGCAATCCGGCCACATCACCAAACAACATAATTACGAATTACGGACAAGTTGCGAGAGAAAATTTGCAGTAAGGTGTACTTCGCAAGAGAATTCGGTATTTTAGAGTTGCGAAGAGAGCGATGTGTAGAAAGTGCACAGGAAACGAATGGAAACCCATTGAATAAACTCAATGAACCATGCTCTTCACTTATTTTGACGGTGCCTGTGTACACGTTTGGCAGCATCCCTGCGAGTCATCGACTTTCAACAGTAAATTAGCAGCCAGAGGAACTTTGTTAGAGTACACAAATTTCAATACAAAACATGAAATAACTTAATTGCGTGGTAGCATATTCAAAATCGTATAGCGGGAAACGCTATTCAGTTATTTCGGCAGTACTCATACACATTGTTACGCAAGTGATGCCCCCACGTTTCCCACACTTTCTCTACCGAGCAAACTGCAATAATTATTGTTGAGAGCAACATTAAGTAACGAAGGCGGGTTTTCTTGCATTTTCCCCATGCCTGGAGAAACGTCGGGCCGGCCTTGGGCCGCTGAGCGGTGACGGCTCCACTTAGCAAGGCCGAGGGCGCTCCGCAGCTTCTCGGGTGGGAGTGCCGGGCTTCGGTGGCGCCCCGGGCGCGCAGCCCGCGAACCAGCCGAGCGCCGTGAGAACGTCCGCGAGGGTCGAAGACGGACAACCGCCGCGGGCGCCGCTCAAACCCGTGGCTCGGTGCGCGGATGCGCTGAGGCGAATTGGCACGCACGGAGGAGGGTGCGGGTTCAAGGGCAAGGCGTGCACGTTTCGGGGCGAACTGCTTGTTTGGCCGGTCATTCGAGACGGAGGTAAGAAGCGGCGACTGAAGTGGTAGGGTTTGTTGAGTTAATGCAAATGAGTTGTGGACTATTTGGGTATCGGCGGATGGGTGATTGACGGTTGGGAATTGGATGGGGGAAATGATTTAGACACTACTGTAATCTGATTGTGCTGGTAGTACGAGTGGAAGTGCTGTTTCATGTGGTGGTAGTGGTTGTGGTAATTTTGTTGTTGTTGTTGT